CCACCTTTAAGCAACAGCAGCACCTCAGTGCGGTTAGACTACCCAAGACTACACGTTGTCTGTGAGATCTATGCCAAGGTACAAACCGGTTTGTTTCTTTTTATTGTCCTGTTTGTTTTGTAACCTCTTTATCACCTCTCAGTTAGAGCTGGTTTTAGAAGCAAAGTACTAGATAAAGAGCTATTGGCTGAAAAGGTACCCATCATTCCTCTGTCTTTGAAGTCTCCTTGAATATGTGTTAATTCTGTTCCTAACTTCTCTATCAATCTAACTCTTGGTTATGTATACATGCAAAATCCCACCAAAAGTTTGCTCATTAGCTGACTCTCTATTTGGTCCTGCCACACCACTCCATTCCTCTCAACCCTCAGCATATTGTATAACTCTTTCAGGTATGCCCTTTCACAAACACTACTGCCTCTCCCAGATGCAGACTCCTTCCTTCAACCTAACCTCCCTACAGAGGAAGTCTCTATCCCAGGTACTCAGCACTCATTGGTTTGTTTCATATCCCGTCCAGAAGACTGACCATTTCCTCATTCAACACTTCAACTCCTGCCTCTGAAATCTTGTTCTTCTATTCTCTAAGAGGAGCTGACAGCACTCCCTTTGCAGCTTGCATACTTTCTCCAATAGTGAAGAGAAGAAAAAAAAAAATTGGAGATTTAGGGTAACGACCAGGGCTTGGGGGAAGGAAAGCATGGTTAATTCAAATAGATAATTAAAAATATGTACCTGAATTTACAAGATTTTGACCAATTCTACAGATACAGCGACACAGGGACTTGGGAGACATTGCCCCGTTGTTTCATCTTTGGTTGCTGCACATTTAGAGTCAAATGCTTCACATTACAAGGAGAGCAATGAATCCTTCCCCTGGGATGGTAAAGAGAGATGCCTACTGGAATATCGTCTATCACATCTAAAATCCCTATCTCAGGCAGTAAGAATTTCAAGGATGTTGCTCTTTGCCCTCTGCAGCACACAGACTTTGCACTGATGTGTTGAGCCACATCAAAATAGAAAGGTACCTATTTTGAAAGCAAGAGAAACTTTGCATTCCAGGTCTCTAGGCGCAGCTACATCGGTATACAGAATACAAAATCTTCACTTAAGTATTATTTTTAGCACTAGACTTTCAGCAAATGAAAGGTTATACCAGATACTGTTTTGTAAGACTTCATTGAGGAAAATGCCAAAGCAAAGGGATGAAGTTGGGATAATTACCTTTAGAGTCTACTACTATTTTTCCAGACTACTAGTATTACTGAAGAATATGCATGTGTCTTTATTAATTTCATTGCAGTCTGGACAGGAAATGCCACAGATGCTAGTGTCTTCATAAAATGTGCTATCATTAGAACTGGAGTTAAATTGTGTATTATTAATATTTATTTTTCTTGCCTAGCCAGTAAGTATTTCCTACTGTCAGGATGGAGGAAAGAAGTTGAGTGCTAACAAGAACAAAGGTTAATGTCCTCATAGGTCATATATATTTCCTCATAGAATATATAAGTACAGCACTGGCACTTGACAATTAGAAGCAAGCAGCATCAGCTACAGCCTGAAGCCATAAATTCTAACCACCAGCAATGCTGATCAGCCATACATTTTGGGGTAATTTAAGAATTAAATTAATCCCGTACATCATTTCATCCCAGGTGGAAAAAGCCTACTTTTCTGGTTAGTTTAGTGAAGTCACAAAATTTTATAATTTGTGGCTTCACAACCACATAGCTGTAGTTTCAAAACATGGTTTTTCAAAACACAGTCTGCTGAACACTTTGTTGGCACCCCAAACCAGGCAAGGAAGAAGAACTAAAAACATCAATGCTAAGGTGTTCTTTCTTCACTTCCATCTTGCTGTTTCCATTGAATTATACCATACCATTATACCAGTCTCTTCTAATGCTAGGGAAAACTGCACTTTTAGAAGACTCTGGTGTCTGAATTTGTGAAAATATGTACTTTAAGGCAACTATGGTATGTGGGTTTCAAGGTCTCAGTGTTTTTGAATTAGTGAGGTGCAGGCAAGAGGAGAAGCAGGACCTGGGCACTTGACCCAAGCTGGCCAACAGGATTATTTCATACCATGAATGTCACATTCAATATAAATTAGAAAATTTGCTGAGAAGTTCTCTCTCTCCTGTGATGGCTGCCATCCTGAGAACTTCTTGAACCAATGCTGGACCCCTGAGACCTTTTATTTCAACCCTTGAGTTTCCTTGGTTTTCCTGATTCCCCTTCCTGTGTGGGGAGGGGTCATTGGATGATAGAATAATTGTCTAAATGACAATAAATTGTTGTGGGCTCCTCAAACCATAACACCAGTGAAACCACAGATCTGCTTACATTATCTAAGTACTTGGCTTTGTGTCTCCCAGTTTCATTCATCCATGTGTATTCTTGAAGTAAAGCTCAATCTGACACTTCAAAATCAGAGCCATGGGATTACCTCACATTCCTAAAAAATTCTCTTAGTGTGGTAAGAATAAAGCATATCATCAATCCAATCTCTTAGATTTTAGCTAGATTCGTAAGAGGATTCTGGACAAGGTTAATGAACCAGAGCATTAAAATGCAGCTCTACAGAGGACATAAGAATAAACAAATATTGAATTAATATGACTTCAGAGTAATTTTTTTAATCCCAATTAAAATTCATCATGAATAGGTTTTCACTAAGCAGATACTTTAAAATTTTATAATAAAGGTAAGGACTCCAGTAGCAAAACTTAAGAAGAAATAATTGATTTTCTTCGCTACTGTTCACAAAGTCCTGAGGAGACTGCTCCCAAATCCCTAAGCGATCTGCAGCAAAGAAGCTGAAAAGCACTCTGTGCAGACAATTCCTGGTAGTACTTGGTAGAAAAAAAAACACAGCATACCTACGCAGCTTACCTAACTTGTTCAGGTCACACTTACCTTCTCCACACCATACGAGGTCCATCGATTCTGCCCTTTTGGCAGCAACTACAGAGAGATACATGATTCTCTCTGGCAGGTATCCCACTATTGAACAGATAACAGTTTCTGCTCGCATATAAGGTCAGACACCTGTTGTTCATCAGAAGTCACAAACACAGTTCCACTGCTAAAAAATGGGAACAGAATTGCTAGCAAGGCTTCAACCACAGCAGCTATAAACCCCTCAGTCCCTCAGCATACAAAGTTACAAATGACCAAGCTCAACAGTCTTTGATTCAAATACATTTAGTCTCCAACCTTCTAGATAAGGAATTGCTATTTCTGATAGCAATTTGATCAGTACAGAAGACTCCCACAAACTAAAAGCTTCTGTCTTAGGTATTAGCTATGTAGTGAAGTACATTCAAGAAGTCCTTCTATCAATTTGGCATTTTTCAAGTACGTGGCAGCTGGTCCTTTTACAGATAAAAAATAGCTCTTTTGTTGCCAGCAGAGCGTTAAATCAAAATCCATCTCTTCCAGTCCATAAATATACTGAGAATCTATTTTGCTCGTCTAGTGACTGACTCCAGTATTAATGCTAAGTCCTTTAACATGAAAGCATTATGAAAGACTTATTTTCTATTTAGAGGTATCACACCTCATACTGACAGATCTGGGTTGTGCTACTGATCATTCTGACATTATACACCTATGAAATTTTAAAAGAATAAAATCTGAACAATTAAAATACCCATTATGTGGAAAAACATCACAGATGCCTAAGGATAGAAAGAAAAAGGCTTTAATACATTTCACTATTTTGTGCAGATAATTATTTAACAGACTACAGTCAACCAATGAAGAAACAAAATACAAACATTTCAGTCTCTTTTCTCAAGACACTTGACTTATACTTTAAGCTTAAGTAGTAGTTAAGTAGTTAATCCACTGATACAAAACCTAAGCAGAAAATCAGTTTTTAGTTGTACCACTAAATTGTCAACATCATTAGCAGTACAACAGCTCAGTGCTGTACCACTAATATATACTGTAGAGACACATTTGTAATCCAGGTAAACTGGAATACAACAGTAAAAACTCAAAATATCCCCAAGCTGTGTTCAGGAAATGTTGCACATAATAGCTTTAGATTAAATTAGAATTTGTTTTCATTGCTAGCACTGCAATGATAGGCAAAATTTTCTCTAAAAGTCAATGTATATTAAAAAAAGATTGTTACATTTTATGACGACTAAACAAAAAAAAATGACAAGCAGGTACCAAGAATTAAGATTCAAAACTATAAGCAGAACATATTTTCAATAGAAAGGTATGAGTGCAGATTCTTCTGGGTTGGAGTAACTTGACTGTTTGCTTGATATCTCAAAGTTATGAACTTTTCTTCCTCATAAAGTGAATAAAACCGAAAGAGTCCTTACGGAACAGAAATAGCTTTATCATCACAATCTACTCGAGAGCAACAGAACACAAATATCTTCAAGATGCTTATAGCTGTATTGTAAAAGCTGGTTCAACCAAGGTAGGAAGGTGAAATTTGATTTGATAAAGTCTCATTGCAGCAGACAAAAACGAAGCTTGCATTTTGTTTGCTGTCAGAATATTAAATTCACAAGAGCGCATATAACAAAACCAAACATGCAATCTATTGCTTTGAAAACCTTTACTGCAACATAACATTGACGTGAACAGTAATTAGATACCTATCATTTTTCCCCAAAAAACCCATAAACAGGATAATAATTTTACTTGTGTGTATATATAGCTTCTCAGATCATTTGAGGGGGGCAAAGGAAGGGGTGATGTTTCTTAATGATCGAGACACTTAACTGAAATGGGTCTTCATTTGAAAAAAGCAACTAACATTCTTTTAATCCAGCATTAAACAAAACATTGCGCTTCTTGTACTACTTTAACACACCTGAAAAAGCAAAATAACTACCCATATTTTGGCATTCATGTTTACATTTGCTCAGATCTTTTAGATTTCACAAAGCTGCTACCCAGTGTTGCCATGACATACAGATTGTAGAATCTAGGTAGCACAGGCTACTTCCAACACCTATACTAAGTAGAAAGGGACTTGAAGCGGGGCATTACGCTATGCTTCTGGAACTAGTACAATACGGGTGAAAACCTAGAAGAAGTTAACCTACAGTTTACAGAAGAAACTAATTACCTGCAGAAGCTGATTTTTGGTTGTATATTATTTTACACTCCATGTTTTCCTCCATCTGCTAATTTCAAGCAGACACACTTGCTTCTTTCTTTGCTGTTTCCTATATTCTCTTCTCCCCGCCCCCCATATGCCATACACCAAGCATTATGAATATAAGCCCAAATATCCCAGACAACCCAGTGAACAAAGTTAGTGTAATGCACTGGTGTGAGGTGTGAAATAAAAAAAATGTCTCTCAATCTTCATCAAAGTTCTGTTGTAGAAGAAAGTTGGCAGCCAAGTTTTCATTCTTCTCACAAGCAAAATATGCCTGTATCACAAGTCCTTCAGGAAATCCTAATGCCTTTAACTGAAGAAAAAAAAACACACTTAGAAAGTACATTTTGTATATTAAGCTTATTTGTATGTCTAGTATATTGAGATGCCACTTAAGCAATTACTGCCTTCTTGAAACAAACACTGCTGCCTAGCTCAATGCAGCCTTTAGTGAGCAAAGAACAAGGTGTTATCTCTGTCTTTAGTAACCAGAATTCTCACTTGAAAAAGTGATTTAAAGAGTCTAATGAAGCACCATAAAATATGTCACTTTTCTTTCACTGCCACAGTAAGTCACTAGAAGAGATTTGGGTCACAGTAATGTCAGGAATGAATGGCACACTGCACTGCTGCAGAAAAAAAAAAAACTTCAAACAATGCCCATTTTAAACTATTAATTACACAAAGCTCAGGATTTTTAACAAAAGTTGCCTGGAACAAAAGGTCCCAGCCTGTGATCACTAATAGGTAGCCCAATACTTTGCTTTAAGCCATACTTTCAATTGTTCCAACTGGACTTTCACCTTTTTAAAAAACTGACTACACGTTGCAGCCATGAGAAGTAAGTGGAGAGCAATCTGTATTTCAGAAGTCAAGGAACTAATTAACGTCCGGGACACAATGACATCAGGGGATGGGAATACTAGAGAAGAGCTTATTATGGTGCCAAGGGAAATGGGTTTAGCCTGCACTTAAAGACATTCAGCAAACCAATCTTTCTTGTAGCCAAAGGCAAGTACATACAACCACTTGGACGTTTTCTTAAAATCCTCACAGCACCTGCAAGGCATTTTACATATAGGGCAGATCAAATCTCTGTAAGACACTATCCTCTTGTCCCTTATCAACCATTCTTAGATTTAATTTCATGCTTACAAACAGCATGAATGTGTCAACTGTAATACTACTACACCTAAATTTTGAAGTGTGTCTTTCATGCAAAAGGAAAGAAGCATACAGGTACAGATTGTAGAGGTAATGCTCTACTGCATAAAATTGTTTTAGAAGGAAATGCAGCAGACTACAGAGGATGATCTGTGAAGTACATGGACAAATAGTTTTATTAGACTAATTTTATTAATAGTCAATTGCCTTGAGTTCTAAAGAATTGACACCTATATTAAAATTGTTCTTTTCTATGATCCTTACATAACCTTTTGCTTTGCCAGTTGAAAAACACTGCCTTTGATATATAAAACCACTACCACAGTATGACATAAGTCTTTGCAATTTGTTCTAAGAAAAATCTGAGGCAATGCCATCTACACAAATCCATATTTAGTCAATGTTATACACAGTATTTATGAATGCAATATACCACCCCAAGTCTATTTTTATAGGCATGTTTACGTGTATTTTTAGAAAGCTATAATTAAGTAATTCTCAAAGAAAGACAAATAACTGGGTTAAGTAGCGACTTCACCTAATCTACTTAACTATGAGAGCTCTTATTATCTAAGTACTTTGCAAACAGTGCTCAGTCAGACACACCTTTGTACCTGGAAACCTATCACAGCATGATCTAGAATAGTACCAGTCTGAGGCTTTTGCAAGCGGAATTACTGCCCAAGTTCCCAAATCCCGAGGGAAACCAATTCAATCATTGGTTATTACAGACAGCCTCTGATCACTTAAAAGGCTCTGCATCTTCTCAATAAGACAGATTCAAAAGATTTTTAGACTCACTTGCTATAAAGCAAGAACAGATGTGATTTGAAACAAGACTACAGCAGCTACAAAATATCAAATATAAAATATCAAAAATGATGCAGAACTACTGAGCCTAAACAAAGTTTACAGCATGTCTTAAGCATGCACCAGAGTCAACACCCTACAGCAATAGCTAAGCAACATTTCAAATAAGAAAGGCTCACCCTTTCTATAGCTTCTTTTTCCTGAGGTGTTACTTGAATGTAGTTCATGTGACCATTTCCAACTTCTGCTACTACTCCTCCAGCGCTGACACCATCATCACTGCCACTTAAACCTTGGCGGGACTCTAGAACTGGCTCATTCAACATATGAATAAAATGTTCCTGGTGTTGGCTTATTTGCTGTGATGCATGGGAGAATAAAACAAATAAATATATTGAAATAAAACACATTTAAGCCTGCCAGCAGGAAAGTAAGAATATTTACTTTCAGTGAATTAAGTAGTCAACAGAATGTGTAAAAAGCACATAGAGAAAAATTATTAAACCTAAACAGGAAAAATGCAATTTCATGTTTCAATCCAATTGCAGTGACCCTTTCCTCTTCCTGGTGCCCCTTGCACCTGTATACACTCAGACTCATTCCTAATAGCATGGAAAGTATGTTCTGTACAACTGCTGAAAAGCCAACAATAGAATGTTGTAACTACTATTAACACAGTACCCCAGTTAACATCAACATCTATCTCCTTCTTATAAAGCTAAATCAAAATTATCAGCATTGTTTTGTTGTTTTAAGATTCACCTGCAGTAGTTGAGGGTTTTCCCGTCCAATCTGCTGTAGCAATGCTGGTAACAGAGAAGGATTTTGCTGAATAATTTGTCTCATCTGCTGGAACTGAGGCTGATTTCGTAAAAACTCAAGTGGATGTCCTGAAAAATCAATGAGACAACATATTCTTAATAAAATGCATACATACGCTGTAATTGTAGATAGAAACAGGACATGAAAGCAGAAAATAAACCCCTCACTAAAGAATAGAACAGCATGCCTCCTCACACTACCTTACTCTATCTTTAAGCTTTCTACAACTACCTGAAAGGAGGCTGTAGGGAGGTGAGGGTCAACCTCCTCTCCCAAGTAACAAACAATAGTACAACAGGAAATGGTCTCAAGTTATGCCAGGGGAGGTTTAGGATGGATATTAGGAAAAAGTTCTTCACAGAAAGGGCTGTTGAGCATTGGAACAGGCTGCTCAGGGAAGTGGTGGAATCACCATCCCTGGAAGTATTTAAAAGACATGTAGACATGGTGCTTAGGAACATGGTTCAGTGGTGGTTTTGGCAGTAATAGGTTGATGGTTGGACTTGATGATCTTCAAGGTCCCTTCCAACCTAGATGATTCCGTGATTCTAGGGAATTCTCTATCCTATGGTTAAACAATGCATTTTCTTTTCACCCAGCCTTCTCTTAAGATCCAGCCGCCTTCTCCCCTCCATCTCCAGCACTTTTCTTGTTATGTAACCTCTCTGAGTAACCTCATTCAATGACATCTACCCAGACTACTGTCTTGTCTCCATGCCCAGAACAGAATTCTCTACCTCCTGCAATAGGCTGGTTCTGTCCTTCTCAAGTAAGGCTTGCCTTCCCATTTATCTTATACTGTTAGGTACTGCCTTGAACGCAGCAGCGTCTGAAGTGCTCTGAAATATCCCACTCCCTCTATTCTCTCTTTAAGGATACTGCCATGTGTGCCTGTCACTACCCCCTGTTTAACATTCTGGCCTCTATCAAGGCTTACATCTTGAACACCATCTCTGCCACAGCCTAAGACAGACCTCTCCTACTCCTTGATTATGCTCCTTTCATGTACTTATTTCCCTTTAAGACAGAGTTCTCCTCAGCAGGCACCAACCGCTCTGTCCATGTGCTGCACTGCTGACTGAGGAGTCCTAGGTCATGCACAGGTCTCTCGGGTGTTATAGCTCATGGCCTTATTGCAAGTTTCTCCTTTGATATTCCAGCTTCCATAGTAAGTTCCATAGTAAATGCCATAGTATAGTCACAGTTGACAGTGCACAGTTAGCCACAGAAGTAGGAAGCCGGAGTTTAATTGAGAGAAAACACAACCCACTCCACCTTTGTGGTCTTATATTTAAATCTAGAATACTGAATCAAATGATTTGTGCAAGTTCGTGGCATTTTTAGAAATTTCATGCTTTATTCCAGATATATCCACATACAACAAGCCATTAGTTCCAGGCAAGTACCACACTTGGAATTTCCATGTTATAGCTCTTATCCAGTTCACTTCGACCAGCTCACAACCACCAGGAACTTAAAATTCACTCAAGCAGAGAATGCTTAAATGCATGTGTTTATCACATCCTCTCAAATATAACCTTTCTTACCTCCTAATGAACTAGTAGTCGTAGGTATATTTGCTACTGCTGCTGCCACTGCTGAAGACTGAGAGGCACCAGTGCTTGCTGCTTGAGGGGGTTCAGCCACAGCCTGATTATCTCCAGGTATACCCTAAAGACACAGTTCACATAATTACCTATAGAATGCTAAACGATATTTGTTTCACTTCATGTGTGATTTAGTTTTCAGACCAAAGGAAAACACATGAATGCTTTCACTGCAAATACAAAGCAGGATGCTGTGATAGGTATGCAATTACAACTGGAAGAAAATACTGTAAGAAATGTAATTTATTTTTTGACAAGAAAAATATGTGGTTTGTATAGCACAGTAGGAAAGCATGCATTGCATCAGTTTAAAAATACATTTTATCCCATAAACAAATAGTTGCTTTGAACCCTGTTCTAAGATATTTTATATGAATAAAAAGTTAAACTAAATATACTGTTACAATACGTTATATTGTTATGCAAATAAAATTACATTTTAGCAACACAATGCTAACAGTGAGATTATCAATGCCACACAATCTGGAAAGAAATTAACCAGAGACATGGGAACATGTCTCTTTGAACCTCTTTCATTGTCCAAATGCCTCTGAAACACCAATAGGCTTGGGGCAACAACCGCCTCTCTAGAAAACCTCTTCAATGTTCGACTACCCTCACAGTAAAGAATTGGTTCCTAAAAATTTCCAAAGAAAGAAGCTGCAACCAGTTGTCTGGTTGCTGGGGGAATAGCAGGACTCCTTCTTAATTAGGGGTTAGGAAATCCTTGAATCAAAAAAGATCTGAAACTAAATGCCTCCAAAGATGAGTCTTGGGCATAGAAAAAGAAACAGCATCTTTCGGAATCGAGACCTCCTTCATGACCACAGCTCAAGGATGTAGGATACATCTAGATCGTCAGCCATGAAGCCATGAAAGCTGAACAGCTTGTCCTCTGAACCATAGAATTTTCAGGGCTCATTTAAGAAACAGCTACAATTTAAGCATAGATACTCTTTTGACATTTTCTTTCCAACACTTTACAAGTACCTTTGGTGTACCAATTCTTTAAACCAGGACAGTGGTATACACTTACAGTTCTCAACATCCTAATCCTACTCTGCAGATTATATGAAAGGTAACACTGATAACAGCTCAGAGGCATCCAAAAGTACAGGGTAAAAGAACAGTGTCATCAATGGACCAATATCAACTAAAGAGAAGCTTTTTTGATGCAGCGGGATGGTAAGGAACTTGTTTAGATGCCAGCAGATCAACAACAGTTAGAAAGACCATTTGCAGCAACAGGATTCTTCTAGAAGGACAGCAGAAGTCTGCCAGTTAATATGGTCTCTCAGAGCACAACTGTTCCTCCCCACTCCTTTTTCCAGCAGGAAGAGGAAGAAGAAGAAAGAAAAGATATTCTCAGTAAAGGATAACATGAAATAGTAAGGGACCAGCATATACAACAGAAGGACTCATTTTAAACACAGGACCTATTGAGTAGAAATGAACTGCTCAGACCAGTCAGACTTAATCTATTTGGCAAACATGCCATGTACTGAACTCCATCGTAGGGATGCTATATTTCTGTTCAGGACTTCCCAAACAGAAATAAGCTAGAGCAGGGAAAATACCAGACTGAGTGTACAAGCACTGCACACTGTAGATGTGTGTAGTGTACATGCACTACAAGCCCAACACTTACAGGAGGCACTGGATTTATGGTATATCTACCGACTAAATGAACAGTAAAATTAACATTTTTAAGGCATGAAAAACAAACATTTAAGATTCCAGAGGTCTGAGATTCCAGACTTATGGCAGACAGATGGGAGCTACTGCATTACCCTAAGGGCAAGACAGTACTTACCACTTTTCATTGACCCAATACTAGATGAGAACTGAGCTTTTTACATTCATGGGCTCAAAATATTTGTTTATTTAAAAACTGCAGGTTACAAGATCTTTGGAACATTAATATAAGTACTAAGCACACCAGTGACTTGTAGTTGTAACTACTGAAGAAAAACATCATTAACAAAAGCAAACTTTTATAACTGCAGGTAAAGATGCCAGTTTTCTTATCAATCTATCAGAAATTCAATACACACATATTTTGCAAGGACTTGTTCAAGATATCTGCCCTTAATATTTTAATAAAGTTCAGACTTGAAACAAGGAAAAACTACATCAGGGAAAAATGGTATGCTAGAGTGAAAACTAAATGCACCAGAAATACTGATTAAGCAACAAGCTCCCTGAGAGATTCTCTGGCAGTTACAATTCACCTGTCAGATTAAAGTATGAAATGAGAAGTAATCCAAAAAGTCCCTAAAACAACTCCAGATTTCCATTACAGTGAAGCTACTCTATTTCCTCTCATGCCAACAAAGTTCATTTCACCCTTCAAACTACATTTATCAAATGAGAAATTGTTTCTTCTCCAAAATACTGCTTTAATTAAAACACCAGTTAAATTAAGCACACTTCAAAAAATCTCTCCAACCTTTCTGTTTGGAAAGTATATTATTAAGAACACTGTGCATAATTAGTAAAAACAATGAACTGGAAGCTAAAAAAATACCTTTGTGATGTTACAGATACTAATACAAAAGTACAGCTAATGCTGTCACTAAGGTGTGACATAAAATCATTCCTTAAGCCAGCCATCGGCAGTTAAAACTATCACTGTAACTGGACATCCTTTACATACATATCCATACAAATCAAAGAATAAAAGCAAAGAAGTGACAGAGGTAGTTAGGGATGACTTCAGTATTTTCTACCCGTCAAAATCTGAATCTCAGCCTTCCAGATGCTCTGCTCAGAGATATTGCTCCTCTATGAACACGTATTACTCTCATTGATTGGATAATATACAAAATAACAAGTAAATCAAAGTTAAAGTTATTTTTTAGCTAGGACAAAACAAAAGTGAAAGAACAACATGTATGTAAAATAAACTGCTCACCATTAAAAGGTATTCCACTGCTCTGTCAGGATTGTTGAAGCTGGCTCTCAGCGCTGTAATTACTTGCTCTCGTTCATAGCCCATTGACATGATCTCAGTCACCATATTCTCATAGGACTGACCTGTCACTAGAAGTAACATGACCACCATTTAAGGGTATACAGGAAAAATGCACAAAAAAGTTTCAATGAACAAATTTAATTTCTACCCAAATTTGAGTTGTTCATTAAGGAGTAAAGAATAGCTCACATTAAATCTGCCATGGTTCTGTTGCTTTAACTCCAAATATATTCTGGTGGTTTCATTATGCATTTGATTGGAATAGTAGACGGTAATGAACACAATGCAAACTTCTATTGAAAAAAGCAGCACTTGTGATACTTCCGTACTTGTAATTGAAATAATATTCCCTCTTTATGCTTTCATCTAAGGTCAAGGGCGTCCTCAACTAATACTCAATTTCTGATGTAATCAAGAAAAGTCTCCTGCAGTGCAAGTTTGGAAATTAAACTTTCTAGGCAGAGATCTGTCTGTCAAAATGTTAGCCATTGAGGGTTTTCCCAGTAAAGACTTTACACTATGCTAGACAGATGACAAATAGCGATGACCAAGTTACAACTGTCTATCTCTATGTGCTGCTGCTGCTGATCGAAGTCATTTAATCAACTTAACATAGTCCACCTCAAGTCAGGCAGAAGACAAAGATATATCTAGGAAAGTCACTCAAGACTTCAGTGAGGGTTTGGGAGAACAAGTTATCCCATTTAATTCATATGTATTTGACTAGACATCCATAACATCAAATCCCCCACCTTTTACAGCATAAATGGACTAAAACTGGCCCACACTTGCAGCCATCAAGACAAAAGGGTACACACACTATATATTTAAGGACAACTAATCACTCCACTAATGGTATCATTAGGAAAATTATCTCTTTTCATAATGATTCAAAAAAAATAACTATTCCATCATAAACTGTAATTGAGCAACATCTTAAAGGTTATCTTCCTGCAAAAAACAGAAAAAAACCCAAAACCAAACCCAAGCATTAAAATACCATCTCCTACTTTGGATAAAGGTATCAAAGGATACAAGACAGCCCTAGCCCAAGGCTACTTGTGCTTTATCCATAAGATAAATAATGGATTTACAACCTTTGGCTAATTTGAGTATTTATCGTTCAGACTTCAAAGTAATAGTGCCAACCTGAGTTTAAGGAATGGTAAATTCATGTCTTCATATACAACTACAAGAGCAATCATTTTACATATAAATTCATTTTTTCAAAGAAAAAAAAAAAATCACCTAAACTTCAGTCTAAAGATACATAGTTCTGTACATATCTTCAGAGAAGCAAAAAAGCCAAGCCAACAATTGTCCCAACACAGTTACTTTGCTAAACTTACTGCTCATGTTTTCTTACACAGCACTAGTTTACCCTTACTATAGCTAACAGAGTAATCAAGGTAAACAGCAGACAGAACACCTTTTGATCCAATTAGCTACTACTTAATACATTTCTGTAGTGCTCTTTCAATACAAGCTAGGTGGAGACCAGAACAGTATGAGAGATTTGGTACAGAAGAAAGAAGGTCAGCTTGCTCTGGACAGACTGCTACATAAGCCATCATTAAAAACCAAAGAAGGAAACAGAATTACTGCGAATTTGGGCACACATACTCCATGTACAGCCTACTTACACAAGTCGTGCATAAGTAAGACCAAGAACAATAATTCAGGAACTGCATATCAGCAATGTCATGATACAGAGTCAGGCCTCTACCATAGTGCTACTGGGCACGTTTGTGATGTCAATGCTGAACTGATTCTGATCTTTGCTTTTGGCTTTCAAATAACATTTTAAAGCTGGATTAACTTTCAAATCCAGTTCATCACACTGCCCACAATAAATCTTGTTCCATGTCCTAAAGAAAGGTTAGGCTGCTCCAGTGAAAGATACGGTTGCACAGGAACTGCAAGACGTGCAGATCTTCATGTAGCACACAAAGCCACATCGGTTTTCAGTCAGCATATCTAACTCAAAAAAAAAAAGCAATTCAGTAGAAACAAATCCCTGTTTTGAAAGTGAAGTAAATTATCTTCAGACAATGCAATTGAGAAGCCACAGTAAGAACATGCCTAATATCCTACTTAGGATGTAAAAACATACTACATGAATTTGTGCAAGCAAGTTCTTTTTAAGATAGTTTCTAAAGAAAAAGAAGCAGAGTTCATGTCCATTGCCTTTGAAAATTTTTGGCATAACCTTTGCAGTATGCTTACCCAGGAAATTACACTCAATGCCTGTTATTTCCAAACTGTCAGGGACATACAGATTTACTGTATCAGATATCAATCAAAGAACTTTCATACAAAATGGATATCAAGGTGATGCTCTCCTGCTACATTCAAAGGAGATTTTTTTTCCCAAGCCTGAATACAACTGAATCAAGACCACCACTTTAATTAAACTTGTTGGTCTTTATTGTTACCATGAGTATCTGTGGTGACCACATCTCAGCCACCAAGGTCTAATGAATGGTTAATGAAGCCTGCAGCACCTTTGGTGGCAGCAGTCACTTTAAAAATGTAACAGAACTCAACTGGTTGTCTCCTGTAGTATCTATCAGCTATTTCAGCTGATACATTTCTTCAGCTTAAAAGAGCATGGCATAACACAAGACCTAAGCTGCAGTTAGACAGACTAAACCTGGTGGCTACCACCAATACACGTAAAACATTACTACTGCTCCTAAATCACCTTGGGCTGCTTAATCACAACACCTGCCTCCAATATAGCCACACACCCCTACAAAAAAATGTAAGTGAAACTCTCTAATTAGTTTAACTTTTTGTACAAAGTTGCAGGTAAAGGTTTACAGAGATAAGACAAAATCAAAAACCCTCCTCCCCCTTATTTCTGTGCCTTAATTTGCTACACTCTATTAAAAAAAAAAACCAACAAAAAACCTCCAAAAATTTAAGTAGGAGTAATGAGTTGTGGTTTTGCCTAGTAATTTCCTAGCCACCAGAATCAGCGTGAGGGGCAGAACTTCCTATTGTTTTTACCCTGCTTATTCCACTGAGAAACAAAGGCATTTGAACAGTGGAAAAAAAAAGTGAATTGACTATAAGTGTACGGAGGCATTCATTCCTCAACCCAGATAGCAACAGATTTGGTGAATTTATCTAATCTAAATGCATCAAAAGACAGTACTGTCAAAGCTGGAACAAGTGAATAATAAAGGCAGCCATTTTATCAGACCTGCACACTGGGAAATAAAGGTGAAAAGAAAAGCGTATACATATTTATGTCCAGTCTTCTATTCAAGCCACTTCAAACTGAATAGTTAGAAGAGAAATTAAGGCAAACGGGGAAAAAAAACAGGAATGATAAGGATCTTCCTTTAACACAATAAAAATATATGAAGTGAAATATTCTTCAGCAAAGAAATTCTTGATGCTGGTTCTAAGATACCAACTTCATGTCTTAGAGAAGAGTACTTTGATTGTAACTTTAACAATGACAGATACAGAAGAGAATGTCAACATCTGCTAATCCGTCATTTGTTTCTGCTGCACCAAAATAATGTCTACATTAAAAAAACACTCCACTTACCAAGTGCACTTATAGCATCCTCAAAAAGATTTGATCGAGATGTATCACCTGTTGTACTGTAAGACGAAGACAAGTGCAATGGTAATTACAAAACTTTGGAAGACTTCCTGTTTTTCAAAAAAAGCAGCAGCAGCTGTAACTCTAACAGCCCCTTTTGTTTCTAAAAGACCAATAAAGCTTTCCAAAGAGCTCTCTTTTGGTCTTATAGTGAGACCAGATTTTTACAAACTTACAATGCTATCATTTTTAACACAAGGCAAACCTTCCCCCCTTCCCCCCAGTAGTCTGGCTCTTGCCCATCTGCTCAGGGATTAGCCATCTGGTTGCTTGAATGCTTTAAAAGGTGGGAGAACAAGGTGGATTTTCAAAAGCCCACAGCAGTCTCACTATGCTTCCCCACAGTCACTGCTTTGACCTCAATGAGGACCCAAGGAGGTCAGCAGTAATCACTTATTAAAATCCCAGTACTTTCCCAGCAATATACACTGCTAACATTTGCAATCACTCCATCTCAAGTCATCAAAGCTGTTAAATTAGAGGATTAAAGGCTCACCTCCATGAACACCAAAGAACACAGGGCACACCACCAGGCAGAGGAACCCCAGTTAATTCAGACAGAGCCAAGGGTGCCCCTTTCCTGGCTCCTCCCAGGGCTGCAACGTAAAGCATCAGCCCCTTGGGCCCGGGCTGATGCCCCTGATCGGTCAAGGGGAGAGGCTCTCCAGGTGTCCTTACAGATCAAGGGCATTACAGCCCCAGAGTGGTGCGACTCACCATGGGGTGCCAGGAAAAAGCATTTGGGGATTGTGCAAGACTTATTATGGGATATCTAGGGGAAAACCCAAAGACAGGGAAAAGGAAGCATCAAGGTACCCTGCAAATGAAAAGCATGGGTAAAGGGAACAAAAAGAGGAGAAAAAGGGCCGGTCACGTGCAAACAGCACTTGCCTGGCCATGCCCTGCACCTCATCACCGGTCCATCCTGCTTTCTAATTAAATTCCATTTTTAACTACTTGTCATGCTGAGGGGGGTATCTCTATTCTACATGCATGTGTGTGTATGGAAGTCTACATGCCCACAGCTGGAACCAGGACTCACCACGATCCGTGTATCTGTGGAGCCAGCAAACGCAGACACCAGACACTATGGAAGTCTCGGTGCCAGTGACTGGATAGGGGACCACAGGGGGTCTACATGCCTGCAGTGTAGGCAGCTGAAGACCAGAGTGCACACATATTCTGTGTGGATACATTCGCCAGCATGTGTGCAATCACCAGCAAGCACCGAGCTTGACTACAGCGAGTAGGGTAAGATGCTTGAGAGCTCGGCATTGAATGGCTGTGACAGCCAGCTGCTGGAGAGACCGGAGGGTCTGAGAGAGCAGCTGCTGGAAAGACTGTAATATCCGGGGGTCTGCTACTGGTAATGTCATAGGCCTCAACCAGCTAGTGGAGAGACCTGTTTGTGTGTCCATGAATGAGGCAACTGGGAGAACCAGGGGATCGAGCAACTAGCTACCAGGTTCAGTGCATGTCTACAGCCAATTCCCGCGTGGATCTTCTATGTGTACGTGCGCACGTGTCTGCGCAAAGGGAATCTGAGTACCAGCAACTGGAGCAGGGTTGGAGGGCTCAGGCAGTCACGTGCCCAGGTACCAAAACCTTGGGAGACTGGGAGATCTAGGGGCCAGATATCAGCATAGACTGCCTAAGGCCAGCTACTGCAGAAGTTCATATTGTTCATTTGTATGGTTGTACATATGTATTTTACACTGGTGGCCTTTGCCCCAGCTAGCCAGAGGGGAACAGTATGGGACTACTGGTGGTGTGTGGTTGCTCGAGTGCTGCTTTTTTCCTGACTGTGTTGACCTATGCAGCCAGCCATGTATGTAGGTATATACATATTGTGTGTATGTACTGGGAATATATGTTCAATCTTGATTCTTGATAGACCTGGGGACATGGAGCCGCAGCAACCTTGCATCAGGCTACCAGAGTCAGCAACTCCTATCAGTAAGTGAAAGATCATCAGATTAATCTGAATCAGTTTTCAGAAGATGCCACTAAAACTCTAACAAGGCATTTATAGAGATGTAATTTTTATGTAAGAAAAAATTTATTCCAACAAGAATTTTTCACTAGCATCTATCACTGCTAAGATTTACAACTAAAAAAGATCAAAGGCGAAACAGGACACCAGCTTGCCTGGCCATGGCTCAATAAATCTTCACAGGCCTTAGTAAATTAGCTTCTAAAGCAAATCAGAAACAAACTGTACTCACTGAAATCAAGGCAGGTGGTAACTACAATGTATTTGTCAAATTATTTTCTTGCTTCCTGTTAAATATGTACACTGAGGCTCCCTTACTGCAGTTTTAAATCTGGAAAGCAGTGTTCCAGCATCAAAGATTTAATCTAATCTTTGACCTTACTGGTCAAACTGAGCAGCAAAGCCCCCACCCATTAACATTAAAAAAAAATTAAGTTATTTGACTGATAAATGAAGCTTCATTTGTATTCCATTTTAAAAAGATGTCAATTTCCCAGAATTGCAAAATTAAATCATGCATTAGGGTATTTAGTGCAAGAAAATTTGTGATGGCATTTTCAAGATACTAGGGAATTGCAAGTTTTGTTTCCTTATCATCAAATCAATATTTGACGGTGTTTAAATGCAGCCACTTCAAAAATTAATGTCCTATGCACCAGTATTTACATGAGTAACACACAAGTAATTGAAAACCAGTGTGTGAAAAACGAAGATTTGATGCTATGCAGCACTTCAATTACAGTTAACATTAAATTATGGTTAACAACATTTTTATCCCGTGCAATACTTAAGCAACTCAAAGCAAGCAAAAAAAGGCCCCAGTATACAACAGGGATGAAACCCCTAATTTCCATCTCATTTTCTTAAATGTAAAAAAACCTGATGTTAAAAGCTATCCCAACTCCCACAACTACCTGCAGATGAGCCAAGGAGCATTCAGAACAAATAAGCTTGTAGCTTTAAGACATTACATGATTAAGAGCAATACTATATCCTACATTTTGGAAGAAAAGATTCTTTCCAGAAATTAACAGACTCTTACAATAGTCTTATGTCTTACAGTCTTACTTATGGTTCAAATCTAACCAACATGATTCAAAACACAATCAGAGGTCTATGAACAGCACAGGAAGACCTCTAAGTCTTTAAGAACTTTGTGAACAGTACATCCCACGCAGGTGAATATTCTCAGTCTGAAAAGAAACTTGTGCCACAGCAACTCTGAAATGCCTAATGGGAGCACAAGTCCTGTGTCATTTAATTCTCCACTCCAAAAGTTTCGTCCCAAGACCACTTCCCACAGGAGAAGGTGTAAGTGGGGAGGGGCACTTCTTACCATCAGTAATGTTATACTTGAGTTAGAGACTGAAGTTATAGTTAAGAAGCAAAATAATGTAGAAGAGGGAAAGTGACTGGACTAACACTGTAACAGAAAATTCAATTTAAATTCAGAACTAGAAGCAACAGGACAGGGAAGCCATTTGTGGGGCTCATTCATACCTGTCAGTTGATGATGGGCTGACAGCAGCTGGTGCCTCAGGTGGTTTTTCTGCTGTGTTCTCTTCTTTGGGAGCACTCACAGGTGCAGATTCACAAGCAACTGCATCTGGTGCTGGTGGTGAAGGGGCAGGAGCTGGCACAGGGGCAGCAGCAGGGGTTGGTGCAGTGACTGGTGTGGGAGCTGCAGTTGTCGAGATAGTAGTAGTGGTAGTAGTAGCATTTGACTGCTGAGTCACTCCAGCAGCTGCTTTGGGCTATAGGAGGACAACAGGATTCAGACACAGCACAAAGCTCCTAAACCCATGCTTTCTATAGTCAACACGCTGATTAAGTTCTGTTAAGACCATTTGTGTTTGACACTGCTGCCTCAACATCAAGCATAACATTAACTCCATAATGCCTTTTGTTGTATTAAAACAGGCAACTGACAGTGTCACTAAAGTACTTATTCAGACACCTAAGCAGTCATACTATGAGTATGAAGTGAAATGCAAAGATAGGATCTAAATATTTTAAGACCACAATACCCTAAACATGAGAACAATCTTGTGTTTTACAAAAGCACAGTTTTCAGAAGAAACAAAAACAGCTGACAAAAGACAGCTGACAAAAGACATCTGACAAGCGTAACAAGCATAAGGTTTTCTCATCTCTCAAATTTGGAAAAAAGTGATAAAGACAGAAATCACACTTCATTATGAATGCTATTTGCTGGAAAATGAGATGTTAAAAAATTTAAACTTAGCCTGCAACAAGCTTTACTTATGCACTCTTCACATGCAAAGCACCACGTAAGTAACTTTTCACATACTTGAGTTCTGTAGTGAGCACCAAAAATCCAGCAGAATCAAGGACTACCAAATTTACAGCAACAAGTTCAGAGTGGGTAATACTTGCATATAATTGTAATTTAACCTTCACATCTTTATTGGAAACATGAATTTTCCTTGGATGCAGTACTAATCCCGTTATACAGAAGTTACACTTTTTAAGAACACATGTAAGTTCCAGCTAAGGGATGGAATTATGTTTTTGAAAGCTGCATCACTATAGTCCCTTACCTATGAATAACCCCAAGGATTGACAAGGCTGACCCTCATCTCCACCTTATCAGGAGAAATAGTTGAACAAAACACAACTACTTATTCTAGGTGAATCACTTTCAGACAATCTTTGCTTAAACTTGGAAAAATATATTTCCTCCTTTCATCTGAAAGGAAAGGAGGAGTTGAGAATTAATAGCTTGCAACATGATGAGCGCGATATAGAACATTTTAAGAAGCATTCAAAGGAAAACACCAAAACACGTCTGAGCATTAAAGTTAGCAGTTGTGCTTACATGACAGAGCATGTCTTATACAGAAAACAATCACGAAAAAGGAAATTGAACTCAAAGTCTTAGCAAAAAGACCGTAACACTGAAGAAATGCCTAACTCCAAAACACAGGTCCTTTAATACAAGAAGGTATTGCATTTAGCAGTTCTTCATGGAGGTCTCTGTTTCTTCTGCTATAAACAAAATGAAAGCTGTACTCTGAAATCCCATCTGCACCTGTTTTCTTGTACTGATAAATGCCTCTTCTCCAGGCAAACCACAGACTAGAACACTGTTTGTTCAGGAAGACAGTAATAACAGTTACATTCAGAGAACCTAATGAGCCAGCTCCAGATAGAAGCAAAGGGCAACTGAATATAGGTTTTCTTTGTCAGAAGGAGGACCTCTAACTCCAAAATTAGCTTCATATCTCAAGACAGAGATGAAACAGTTTTATTCAGATCCCAAGGGTCTGGAAGGCCTCGAAAATCAGTGGCTTGATTCTGCAAGTAATATGGCAACTAGTTAAGAGGAGATGTACTTCAAATACATATCACAGTCATTCCTTCTAATTTGCTACTGCAGTCATTACAAACTCACAAGTTTGTTGATTGGCATATATATTCTTTCTCTACTGGTTTAAGCTGTTGAACTTGACAAAAACAGCCATGAGTTTTGAAAAGCAGCATGGCAAGAGTGGAATAGTTCTGTACAGAGGATTTAGTAACAAACTATCTAGGGTCCCTTCTTCCTTTTAATACTAACACTGGAAAAACAACACAGAGACAAGAAAGAAGAAACAGCAGTAAGATCAGCCACTGGGAAAATTTTTCTTCGGTGTAAACATTCAGCACAGAACAGCAACAACAACAAGCGTAGGCAAACTAGGACTGTGAAGCTGTATTTAATTTCTATTCGCACAAGCATTTATCTTTACTGTTAACAAAAACTTTCACATGACCAAATTCCACTAGTTTTAAGGATAGGCATGTACAGTCACTCATCACAATGAAAAAGGAATGAAATGAATGCAATTGCCTTTTCAAAAATAAGGACTACTCACTTTTGTCACCATAACCACCACAAAGTTCTTCTCATCTATTTTGTATTCTTTAAGGGCAGTATCATCATTAAGGATTTTACCTGGCAAATTAAATGGATACAAATTAAGAAGTTATCTAACAGATAAATGATCTTGGTATTCCCTCATATAAAAATAGTTCCAAGAAAACCCATAAAAACACATTTTATACAGATTTATAAACATTAATAACGCTACAAACAGTTTTTTGGCTATTAAGCTTCAGCAGTAGAGCTACAAGTAATTTTTCTCCTATGATGTCCACAGTACTTGTTAGCTTGAGAGCTGTTGCCGTAAGTGTTGAAGATGCTTCTAATCATTTAAAACAAGCATTAAACCTTGAGAAAGATTTACTGGACCTTTAACACAGATACAAGTAATGTAGAGGAAAGGTTTTAGCATACAACAAGCTTAACTGAATAACTTATGTCTGCTTACACACTCCAGACACAATAAGAAAATTCCTTCCTGCTTATCTTCTCTTTGCCCTTCAGATGTAGTCAACTATCTACAGTTCTCTGCTACAGACAAACTTTATCTGCATTAGATAAGTTTGTGACTTTGCAACTTTAACAATTTGTTCTTAGAAGAAGGCTAAAGCATTAGAAAATGATAGAACCATTGCACATCCTGCTACCTTGACAGAAGGATGAAAAAAAGTGATCAGACAAAACTAGAAACATTTGTTTGTTACTACTACCACTTTTGATGTTTCATAACATCCTGGTCTCTAAATTGGAGACATAGATTTGACCAGTGGACCACTCAGTGGATAAGGAACTGGCTGGATGGTCACACTCAAAGAATTGTGGTCAACAGCTCCATATCCAGGTGGAGAGCAGTGACGAGTGGTGTTTCTCAGGGGTCAGTACTGGGACTGGTACTATTTTAACATCTTTGTTCATGACATGTATGTTGGGATTGAGTGCACCCTCAGAAAGTTTGCTGGTAACACCAAGCTGCATGGAGCAGTTGACTTGCGAAGGGATGCAATCCAGAGGGACCTGGACAGGCTGTAGAGGTGGGCCTGTGCAAACCTCATGAGGTTCAACAAGGTCAAATGCAAGATCCTGCACGTGGATTGGGGCAATCCCAAGCACAAATACAGGCTGGGCAGTGAATGGATTGAGAGCAGCCTTGCTGAGAAGGACTTGGGGTGTTTGTGGATGACAAGCTCAACATTAGCCGGCAATGTGCGCCTGCGGCCCAGAAGGCCAACTGTATCCTGGGCTGCATCAAAAGTGTGTGCAGCAGGTCGAGGGAGGGGATTCTGCCCCTCTACTCTGCTCTGGTGAGACCCCACCTGGAATATTGCGTCCAGCTCTGGGGCCCCCAACATAAGCAGAACACGGACCTGCTGGAGTGGGTCCAGAGGAGGGCCACAAAGATGATCAGAGGGTTGGAGCACCTGTCCTACGAAGACAGGCTGAGAGCGTTGGGGTTGTTCAGCCTGGAGAAGAGAAGGCTCCAAGGAGACCTTAAAGCAACTTTCCAGTATCTGAAGGGCGCCTACAAGAAAACTGGGGAAGGACTTTTCACAAGGGCATGTCGTGATAGGACGAGGTGAAATGGCTTCAAACTGGAAGAGAGGAGATTTAGAATAGATATTAGGAAGAAATTTTTCGCTTTGAGGGTGGTGAGACACTGAACAGGTTGCCCAGAGAACCTGTGGAAGCTTCATCCCTGGAGGTGTTCAAGGCCAGGTTGGATGGGGCTTTGAGCAACCTGGTCTAGTGGGAGGTGTCTCTGCCCATGGCAGGGGGGTTGGAACTAGATGATCTTTAAGATCCCTTCGAACCTAAACCATTCTATGATTCTATAAGCAGAAATGGTACTGTGGCAAAGTAGATTTGTCTCATGTCTACAAGAACTAAGAAACACATTAAACCACGCAGACTTTTTTTTTTTTTTAAGGTTAAGCTGATTTAGAGGCAGTACCACAAATCAGAAAATTAAGTCTGTATTTCAGTGAGTTTTATAGTAGCTACTTCTACTGCAGAATTTTCAGGAAATGTTTTACATTTTTAATTGATTCATTTTCTGAAGATGTGCCAGGGACCATTCCCTATTTCAAGAGGAAAATACACATTTTCATAACCATTCTCAGTGCTAGTGGAATACACTAGCAGCACACATCCTTATCCTGATGGCTGCAAGGAAATGAACCAGTGCAAATACATTATGGCACTTGGAACACAAACGAGGTGGCACTGTCCTACTGTCTATTGGTTCCACCAGTCTTGTATGTCAAATACTCAAGAACGTACTATATGTACTGTAGTAGTAGTAATACCTATAGCACATGGTGCACCGTCTGACTCAGAACCCACAGAGGTTTACCCACAATTTTCTGGTTTATAGGCGCTTTGGGGAAAAAGATTGCACAAGGTAGGTACAGAGACATCCTATCTTCTCAGGACACACCACTCTCAGGGTTTCTAGACTTTACCCTAATACAGATGACAACACAACAGATCCACCTCACCACTGACTAGCAAAACCCTTCTTTAAAAAAAAATTGCAAGCATTTGTAATAACAAATGGTATACTTTTAATCAGGTTCAGCTGGGATAGCACTCTGCTTTACCAAACTGAGAATTCTAAAGCTCATTTTAATCAAAGCAAAAGTGTCATCAATACACTCTTGTATCTCTTGTCCAAGAAAAAAATCACAATCAATCTTTAGATGGTCTTCTATTCTAAATTGTATTTCCTACTTTTCCTGCTCCTTGTGAGGATGATACAATGCTGCAAATAAATTCTGGCTTCTGAAAATACTCAAGTCACATCATATGATCTTACAAAATCCCTGATTATTTTTTTTCTAATCACAGAAATATAGTATTAAGAGTGTCATGCAATTATACACATTGCACAAGGCCTTCTGCCTTGTTTGTATTCCTTTATTGCACATGCAACTATAACCTTCGTGTTCTTGATGTGCTTTCCTCTCACTGAAGTACAAGGGACATAAAACTTGCTAAGAAACATCGTCCTGAGAAGTCCGTACAAAATACGAAGAGACTCCTGACTTCTCTCCATTAGTGTATTTCTATTGTGATCAGTGGCTTTAGCTTATTAGAAGTGGAAAAGCAGTACATTGAAGAAATAAAGAGACCAAAGTTTCTTTCAAGCACTGTTTGAGAGGGAAAAGCACTAGAAGGGGCATTGGAATAGAACTTTTTAAGTTCGGACATGAAGTGACAATGAAAAACTGGATCTGTGTATTAGTGCCAGAAAGGACCACCTAGGTAGAAAACAGTAAAAAAAAGAAATGCCAAAAAAAATTGAAGTATGTTAGCTCAAATAAAGTAACTTAATGTCTATATCTGACATTAGCCTGCTTTTCGCTAGCACATAATACATGTTTCTAATGACAGAGCTTAAAAGTATTGAAAGTACCTCTGTACAGCAAGGATTTAGTGGTGGGTTTCTTCTGTTAAAACAAAAGAAATAATCTAACTTTTAATTCTGTGAGGTATATACAGGAACGCTTCAGCTATACACAGCACAAACTGATCAAAAGACAAGAGTTAACTCAGAACGTAAGACGTGATGTGCTGAAACCCTGATTTCTTCTAAGAAAAGCTATTTCTACTTCACCTAGTATATCCCACCCAGGACTAAAGCTGTTAGCATATCATGCTATCAGAGCAAAGATAACAATGGACACACATGTATTAAAACCCAAAAAATTCTGATTCAAAATTTATAGTTCCCTTTGACAATGAGGTTTGTTGTTGGTTTGGTTTTGTATTTGGTTTTTGTTTGGTTTTGGTTTTGTTTTTTGGGTTTTTTTTTAAACCTGTTTGCATTTCAGTACTTAGAATCTTTAGAAGACTTAACTTTCACATCAAAGAAGAACATAAAAAAATAAGGTAGATTCAGATACAGTATCTCCAGAATATTCATTACCTGCATAAATTAGTTTTTGGCCAGCTACTGGAAAAGCATCTTTCCCCCTTTCTGATTCAATCTTCTCTTTCAGTGCCTTCACCTAAAGCACAGAAACAGTCTTAATGAAAAAAAGTTTCACAATACAAACCTAATTAAGTACACTTTGTTCTATGGTTTAAATACTCAAAAGTAGTTTTCAGTGATATCTTGATTAGGTCAAGTATATCAGTCTTCCAAAGACGTCATTATAACCACTTGCAGAGCAACATGTTCCCTTCCCAAATCATCTCTTGTGTTTAATCAAATTCGGTAAGTAATTTCTCCATGAGAATTCTTTAGGTACGAGTTTACAACACAGTGAAAAAAGAAGAAATTTGAGCTCCAAATGCAGGGGGCACACATGCTATGCACAGCTGACTGCTTTCTTCATCAGAATGACTCTTCAGGGAATGCCTGTGTTTTTGGTAAGGTCACCATGACATCCGATTGAAGTTACTGGAATAACTTAGAGCCTTAATATGCAAAGACTTGTGCAAACTGTCCAGTTGTTAATTTTTAAACTTGTTCCCCTCCCCTGTAATTTTTGGAGCTTTGCACAGCACTTTTAAGCCTACACATGAAAGCGTTTTGCCTTATTTACTTGCTTACGCAGACGGCTGACATACAGACCACACCTTCAGAGCACCACATACAATAGCCCAAATGACACTGTCTTAGTTGTCATGTATCAGAATACCCATATTCTCCAGAAAAAACGCGTTAACGCTATCCTGAGAAGATAAAGGATGTTCCTGCAGAAGCATTTCTTCACTGATACATTTGAAATCATGCTTTAAGGCAAACAGCCTATATACAGACATTGATTTTTCTTGCTTTCTGACAGAAACTCCCAATATACGTAAAACAAAGACAATCAATCTGTTACAAACTTATTACTACAAACTAACTCCATCTTTTAAAGATTTTTTTCTGAATAGTCGTAAGGTTTTTTTTATTAAAAACTGCAATTAAGATGCACATGCCTAGCTATTTAACCAGATAAGCACGCGAAAATATGCTTATCTTGACAGCTTCATCCAACTGGCAACTACTTATGCCACAGATAGCTGTAGCATTACCTTTTTTTTTTTTTATTTTTAAAACTGTAGATCACTATTAGGGTTGCTTGAGTAGTAAATACACTGAAACAGTACTTTCAGGTGCTAAACGGTAAGTATTTACTGAGAAGTTGAGCTTTGTGATTCTCAGCATAATTAAAATTTGTCATCCACGTCACATGCCAGTCATGCTTCCTGGCTTCACTTTATTCTTCTGTAAATGATGTCTCAGACCTTCGTGTTACCTATTCCCTTTTCTTGTATTGTTCCCCTCGCTTCTTCTCCCTCTTCCTCTCAGATTTTATTTCTGTATTCTTTATCAATCTCTTTACCAGGCTAATCCTTTCAGTTTGGATGTTTGGTCCAAAAGGGACGGACCAAACTTTAACACTCACAATGGAGTTGCATCTTTTCAGGAGTATACATAAAAAGGAATGTTTGTTTTACCAGGCTTCATGACCCAGCAAAGGAGGCCTACAGAATCAAACCTCTTCTCTAAGCTTACACCTGACACAAGTGATTAAATCACTAGCCACACAAGGATACAGAACACAACATACGACTTCCCTTTATGGGACTACACCAAAATAGGAAGCCAACTCTTTTTCCCCGCAGATGAAGGAAGGATGTTCTTGGTATTCTTATTATATGTGCCATCCCAGCACCTCCCAAGAGCTTTAGAATCAGTCTCCAGCTAGCCAGTTGCTTTTCCACAGTGAAACTAACAGCAGCTCACTGATATCCATAAGTCTTCAGGCAGAATCAAACCGTTAATCATTTCAGTAATAACTTGCCGATAGCATCATTCTCATGCACTTACTCTACAAAAGTCTGTTCTATCCCTGGATTTACATTTATTTTAAACAAGTATTTCTAGAAAACCACCTCCTTTCTACCCTTTTTAAAAATGGGTGCAATGTTTCCTTTTTTCCAGTCACTGGGAACTTCACCTGACTGCCACGACTTTTCAAATATCTTGGAGAGTGGGCTGTCAACTACATCAGCCAATTCCCTCAGGACTTTGGGATATATCTCGTCAGGTCCCATAGAATTCTGTATGTTCAGGTTCCCTAGGTGGTTACAACTCTGATCATCTCTTACAGCGGGAAGGAACTTCACTCCTCCAGTCCCTGTCTTATGGTCCAACAACTTAAGAGAAGAGAGGTTACCAGTGGAGACTGGGGCAAAAAAGCTGTTGAGTACCTCAGCCTTCTCATCTGCTGTTACCAGTTTGCCAGTCATGTTCATCAGGGGTAGGCTTTTTTTTGACCTTCCTTTTCTGGCCGATATACCTGTAGAAGCCCTTCTTATTATTCTTTGTGTCCCTTGCCAAGTTCAGCTCCAGCTGTGCCTTGGCCTCCCTGACCCCATCCCTATACAACCAGGCAGCGTCCCTATATGCTTCCCAGGATACCTGTCCCCACTTCCACTGCCTGTGCATTTCCTTCTTGCCCTGTAGCTTGACCAGCAGGTCTCAACTCAGCCATGACACTCTCTTGCCTTCTCCTTTCTCAATCCCATCTGGGGATAGAGAGCTCCAGTGCTCTATGGAAAGTGTCCTTAAAGATCTGCCAACTCTGTTCTGCTCCTTTCTCCCTGAGGGCAGTTTCCCAGGGCATCCTATTGACTAACTCCTTGAACAGCTGGAAGTTTGCTTTCCTAAAATTCCTAAAATTCACTACTTGCCTGACCCATGCCCCTCAGGACTGAGAGCTCCACCTGTGCGTCATCACTGCAGCCCAGGCTTGCCTCCAATCTTAACATCACTGATTAGCTCACTTGCATTGGTGACCATCAGGTCCAGTATCACATCCCCTCTGGGAGGGGCTGTGTATTACCTGGCTTAAGAAGTTATCTTCAATGCACTCCAGGAGTCTCCTGGATTGCCCACAGCTCACCATGCCACTTTTCCAGCAGATGTCAGAGTGGTTGAAGTCCCCCAGCAAGACAAGAACCTGTGAGTGCAATAGCTCCTATAGCCAGCGTAAGAAGGCATCAGGTGGCTTGTAGCAGACACCAACCACGAGACTCCCTCTGTTACTTCAGTCTCTTATTCTTACCCATTAGCTTTTAAGCTGCTCATGGTTATTCTTCAGAGACAGCTCTTCACACTCTATCCTTTCCTGGATGTAGAGGGCAGCCCCTCTGCCCCTCCTTCCTCACCTATCCCTTCTGAACAGCCTGTAGCCATCAATAGCTGCACTCAAGTCATGGGATTCATCCCACCAGGTGCTTTCCAGCAGCATGGTGGCTTCCAACTCCCGTTTGGTACCCCTCCTGCATGCGGTACCCATCCTGCATGCATTGGTGTAGAGGCACTTCAGCTGGGCTGTCAGTCGTGTCACTTTCTTAGAGGTACACCCCTTAATTCCTTTGGGGCATTTTACTGGTGTTTCCCTCTTGGCTCCTATTACCTCAGGAGAGCCTGGCTCATCTCCATAAGACTTCAAGCGCGCTGCAGTGTAGCCAGCACATCTCAGAGCAACAGGCTGAGGGGCCTTGCTAGATCCCTGTCCCTCTAACCGTGGTATGTCACAGGCAAGCCTGATATTATCCCCCACCCCCTTGAAGTCTAGTTTAAAGTTTTGTCAATAAGGTCCACTAGCTCGTGAGCAAAGATACTCTTCCCCCTTTCAGAAAGGTGAATCCCACCCAACACCAGCAGGCCTGGTGCCATGTAGACCACTCCATTACCAAAAAAAAAAAGAATTTGTGGCAGTGATACCAGCCACAAAGCCATGTATTAATAGACTGGGTCTGTCTGTTTCTTCCAATATCGCTCCCCACAACTGGAAGGACAGAGGAAAGTATAACCTGTGCTCCAGATTGCCTTACCAACCGTCCCATGGCCCTGAACTCTCTTTTGATTGCCCTTGGACTATTTGTTGTGGCTTCATCACCACTGACATGGAAGAACAGTAATGGGTAATAGTCCAATGGCGTACAAGGCTAAGAAGTTTCTTAGTGATGTCCTTAACCCAGTCTCCAGGGAGGCAGAAGACTTCTCTAAGAGGAAGGTCTGTCCAGCATATTGGACCCTCTGTTCCACTCAGAAGGGAGTCACCTACAACTATAACCCGTCTTTTTTTCCACATGGAGGTGGTTGTGACAGGGCCAGGTAGGCCTTTCTGACCTTGGCAACACCTCTGGTGCGGAGGGACCGTCGTCTACATCATCCATTGACTGACCTTCCACATCCAGAGTCTCATACCTGTTGTATATAGGCACTTGGGAAGGTGAGGTAGGCAAGGATGGGGTTCACCTGACACCCCAAGCGTAAACTTGCCTCCATTCACTCCTTCCTTTAAGCTACTGCCTTCTGCCTGGTGGGGGGAGGATACAGGATTCCCTTGATCTTGTTATTTTTCCTGGTGGCTGTTTCTGTCTCAGGGAGGGCAGAGCATGGTTCCACTAGTCTATCTCTTTCTCAGACTCTCTGATGCTCCTTAACCTTTCTACTTCCTCTCATAGCTCTGCCACCAAGCTGAGCAGATCATCCACCTGGTCACACATCACACAGCTGTTCTCACTACTGCCTACATTACTAATGAAAGGCTCTGGCACACCCTGCAGCCTGAGATCTGAATGCCTGCACATTTTCGCAGGAGCTCTGTCTGCATTGCCACATCCGTTCCGGCAAGTGCAGAGGATGTAGCTTTCTGCTGGCTGGATACAATAGCTAAGCTCCTTCTGAGAGGGTGATGACCATCAACAGAACTCACATCTTGAGCTGGTGGGGTGATGATGCCCTCCCTGCACACCCTGCCATGCAAACTGATGCTCCACACTCTTTTTGCCCATGCTTGTGGTCACTCACCCTCCTCCCAGACTGTTTTCTTTATAGGCCGATGGTGGCTATGATTGCTCTGGCAATGCCCACGCCCTGTCAGCATCTCCCATGGGAGCTGGCAGCTCCTGACATTTCCCTACCTCAGGAAAGCCCCCTGTGTGCTAAGATCTGCCGCTCTGCTGTGGGTCAGGCCAGCTCCAGAGCAAC